ACTGAGTTGCAAGAGGCAATTTCCGATATACCTCAGCACAGCCATGTCTCTTCCACTACGGGATACAGAACGGGTAACGAACCAAGTGTTTTGGTCCTTGTGCTCACAAACGGGTAACTTATGGTCGACAATGTTGGCCTACATGCACCACTTGGCCGTAGCGATAGCTCGATGCTGCTTTTCCACTACATCTGCTACACAGAATACATGTGGGAAAACAACCAGGAAGTTCCCTATGTCACCAACTACCGTACAACCACTGATCCTGTTAAAGACACAAACTGGTCCTTCCTAGTTGAGCAATCTCGCGAAGTCATGTGGAAGGAATTTGTCACCTTGTTCAGCGGACAAGTGGCAAGTGCGTCTGAAAGCACTCTCTCGCTCCAAGCAAATGAAGTACTTGATAAGGAGCCGGACACGAAAATATATGACCCTAAGTGATTCGGTCTGGCGCGTTTATAAAGCTTGTCCGGATGCACGAGCCTGGGATCCTTATATAACAGTGAAATCATTGTTAAATTGGGCCGCAACGACAAACGCAAGCAACAACAGGACTTAGCGATCAACTTCAGCAGTAATCCTAAAATATTCTATAGGCAAGTAAACAAGCTCCGGAGAGTGCAGCGCGGGGATCCCAGTTCTACCTGCAGTAGATAGTCTGGCGCTCACTACAATAGCTGAGGCAAACGAGCTTCTGTGACAGTTTACCCACAATGTCCAAATTGTATAGTCACCACACCCGCTCACGACACAGCTCAATCGGCCCCAAGACTTAAGCCATGCATTTTTCACCGCTACAATGGTGATGGAAAAGCTACTGGCTTTGCGCATGTACAGCTTTCCTGGTGTGGACAATATCAAACCGAAGGCATTAAAGAGAGTAGCCATGAACCTGGCCGAACCGATGACACAGTTCTTCTGACGAAGGCTTGAGGAAATGCAGGTTCCGATTATCGGGAAACAGGGAAGAGTAACTACAATGTTCAAGAGTGGGAATCGTTCGGAACCTTCCAACTACCGTCCAATCAATCTCCTCACCGTGTTAGCCAAAGTTATGGAAGAAATTAGCACACAGCGCTCATGGGATACCTCGAGTGTAACAGCACTATAGCGTCAAAATAGCACGGATTCCGACGAAATCGTCCTGCACAACAAACTTGCTACTAGACAGAGCAAGCTGGACAGAATCAGTCGATGCCGGAGTAGGAGTCGACGTTAGCTACCTAGAGTTCTCGAAAGCGTTCGATCGTTTGGACCACCCCATTCTCCTTCACAAGCTTCGAAGCAATGCAATCGATGACCCTTTGCTCAGGTAGATCGTCAACTTCTTCACTCAACATCAGCGGAATGTGACGCTCCACAGCTTCACTTCTTACCGAATTGCCGTCCAGTGTGTCGTGTTCGAAGGATCAGTACTGTGGCCAAAATTATTCCTAGTATTTTTTAACCATATTGCTAGTGTACTGCAGTCGTACGTCATGCTATAAACAGATGATGTCAAAAGCTAGCACGACATGCAGAGAGTGGACGATCACACAACGCTGCAGAGTGAACTCAATAGAGTCTATACAATGTCATCCGAAGTTCGGTTTCAATTTAACTTAAAGACATGCGAATTTATAAGCATACGCCATCAGCTTACCCATGTATTTCGACTTGGGGACCAGCAGTTCCAACGTGCTTCACAGGAAAGCGAGCTCGGAGTAATCATGCAGGACGACCTTGGCTGCTCAAAACAGGCCGAAACGGCATTGAAAGAGCCACTTAGCACCTTGGATTGTTAAGGAGGACTTTCGGAATTTTCAAGCAACCAATCTTTCCCCAAATGCTGAACTGCTACAAGCTACAACGTACAATTCGTTATCCAAGCCCTGGCGCAAATGCGACGTTGTTGCACTTAAAGTTCCACAAGTAAGAGCGTCCAAACTCGTTAGGGGGTCATTGCATGCCCCCCACCAACACGGATAGCATGCCCTGAGATTGTACAGTGGTGAATATAGGCGTTAGCGTGGAGTCCTCATCATGGTTTATTTAATACCGAAAAACAAAACTCACGTCTGTCTCGGCCTGTTGCAGCTGAGCCGAAATGTCAAGCTGAGAAGTCACTAGCTCACTGGCCAAGCCTTAAAGTCCATTTGATTGTCGACAGAATGCCTTCTCCTTTCGGGTGTCCCGGACCTGGAACGTCCTTCAGACTCACGTCAACCTTCCTTTTACACTAACGCTTGTTTTAAAACATCTTGACGACACGCTTTCCCACCTGCATTATTTGTTATAGTCCGCTTCACTCGGAGGATGAAATAACTCGAACCAAACCATGTGCGCGCACAACGTGGCATGAGGAAACAAGCATCAGTGATCAGGTGAATAGTTTGGATGCACCGAAACTGGATTTACATGTCACATCGGTCCAATGAATCGGCACATGATTGAGCGTGATTATTTCCTTTTTTATTTCTCACGGGGTTACTGAGCTATATCTACTCTCTATATTATTTTGTGTGCACATCTTATACCCATTCCAAACCATCGTTACGCTGCAGTGCATTTAAATCGGTAGACGCCTAAAATGACGATTTACTTATTGGTTGATCCTCACAATTTTACTTTTCACTCCAACCATCCTACGGGACTTGTCGAGCACATGCATTTTTATACGTGACCAATCACTTTCATTGTTCATTTCCCCCAGATAATGTACGTTTTTTTACTTGTGGCACAACAACCAGCTGCTAGCTTTCCGGAATGATGTCCATCTGTTAGCAGTGGCTCAGCTGGAGTGCCTCTGTTACGTCTTTTCTTTCTTTCTCAGATATTGCGGCACAATGAGGTGTTTCCCACCTCTAGCTAACGTGTAAATGAAAGTTGATCAATGAGACTCATATTAGGGGACCAAATATTGAGTGACCCTAATCAAGTATGCCCTCAGTTACTGAAACTCAGTCATAACACAAATCGCAGATGTAACCCTCTGAGATAGTGTGCACAGTTAAGCCGCCTGGATTGCCGGCGGATTTAGGTTTCTCTTCGGGTTTGCCAACCCTGGAACTCTCACCCAACCTTCGTTGTTTCCTCCCCACCATGGATATTCAAAAAAACGATTGGATCTTGCTGTTGGCCCCACATCATTTCGTTGCCTAAACTGTGTAACTTTGGAATATACTAATTATCTCTCTGTACCGCCTCTGCGTTGGGTAATTCACACAAACCATCACACTGGATCTTTCAATCATTGGCTATTTACCCTTACAGAAAGCCTCCTATGAGAGTGAACACAGGGCTCTGATTCAGAACAACCTTAACAGCTAGCAACAATATGAGAAGATTTCGAAAACCGGCATTTAACGTGTTGGCCTTTCTTTATGTCTTCACAAGTTCGTGTAAACCCTTTGGCGATAATATCATCCTCTACCTGGTCATCTGCCGCTGTTCGACTACGAGTGACCGGGACTTGCTTGCCTGTGTATTGACTGAGCTTATTCACTTCACTATACACTAGTTTCCTAGCTAATTGACACCCCCTTCCAGAGTGTGTGAGTAACGACAGTGTGTCTATTTGGATAGTAAGAGGGTGAGATTGATGTCGGCCGGTGACCGATCGGTCTGAACGCCTGGCTTCCAAGCATAAGGTCACTGGTTCGAACCTGCCTAAGGGCTGGCGTCCTCGCAGTATACTCAGCCCGCGTGCGGATGGTGGTGGTCGCGCGGTCGCGAAGCGCCGTTACAGCGTACAGTTGGCATTATTTTACCTTTATCTCTCTGCTTATAGGCGTTCTGTAGTAGACTAATGAAGGGCATTCAAAACATCAAAACTGTATTTAATGTGCAATGTTCACACTGAGAAATGCCGGACTGTCGATCAAACCGTCCAAACTGTCAACACAAAAAGCTTGCCAAAACAATGATTTGGTTATGATTCTTCATGATTTGCTCGGCCGGGGGAGGAGATGGTGACGAGTTTATTCCGCATATAATTGCTGCATTTTTTGATTATTTCACAAAGCAACGGTAACTGCTTTTAGACGGTGACTAGGATAACAAGCGCCTTCAACGACAACGTTTGATCCCTTTTTCAAGCTATGGAACACCAGAAGAACCCATCGCCGACAAGTGACATCATTTTACTCGTGTTGAATTCCGGGTCATTTTCATTTACTTTGACTTTTCCTCACATGCCAGTCCTTGTCATGGTTGAGAAGACGATTGGCGTTACCTTGACGGATGCTTTGAGGCACTTATCATACGCCCACAGCCATCTTGGAGGAACGACGTTTCGCTCTTCTATGAAATATAACACAACATAGTTCCATAGAGGTTCACGTCAATTCAAGGCTTATGCGGCATTAAACGTATATTTTTAAGACTTAATGTGTGGAGGTTGAAATAAATATGTTGCTAGCAACGTTCCACCAAGTAGCGGAACAGGATACCAACATCAAAATAGTTGTCTAAGACTTCAACATGCATGGTAGTCTATGGACTAGCTATACTGTACCCACAAAACATTTGAAGCTTCTGTTTTCCCTATAGTCGTTTAGCTTTGCTCAGTATCTCCATTCTCCTGCAAGGAACATTAACATCCTGGATCTGCTCCGAAACCTAGGCATATTTTTCGCTTCCACTACAGTCGTCGATAACATCCAAAGCAATGAATACAAAGCGGTCTCATACCCGTTTATTCAGTCATGTCCACAAACCTCTACTGTATCCCCTGAAATGTAATATCAATCCAATCCAATGAATTACGACTCCTTTTCTGTCGTACGGAGATAGTGAAAATAAGACAGACTGTTAAGACTAACTAGCATGCGGCTGTTGATGAGTTTTATAATAACTCCGGCTACTGCCCCCATATCCTCGTTCCTATAAGGCGCCAAAGTGATGAGCAAACATCGAGATCAAAATTGATTACTTCCAGTTTTACTCAACATTTAACTCAGCTTCGTAGGCTATATCTGAATACGAATGTTTTTAGTACTGTTTTTTCTTTTGTATTACAGAAGCGAATGCCTACCATCCAACTCGATAGCACATTGAACCATTGGAGTTCCATCGACAGATAAGCTGGTGTCAGTGAAAGTGAATCCGCCACCAGCTGGAATAAAACTTGTGCCACCGGAGTATTCGAACTCTATGTGTGGTTACATATCCCGAAACGCAGGTCCGGAGTGATAGACGGCACTTTGCTGTCCTGCATACAAAGCTTTATAAAAAATATTCAAGAATGCACGATATCAGTAATTGCGAATGATCCATAATTATCAAATATACAGAGTTGGATTTACAAAAAATGTCACTGGATGGCGCTGAAGATGATTTACTAATGGATGTTTATTCATATACTTGGCTTTTGGTTTCCTTTACATTTAGGCTTGAAATATGGCTATATAATTGGATGAGACAGTATATAAGGATATTTAATATTGGAAACTAAAGAAAGCAAACCCCTGGGAGCCTTTAGATCAAACTAACCCCTTCGTACGCAATGTGCGCATTTACACGCACACACACACACAAAGTTAATTTTCAAATAATGTGCACAAATGTACGAATACTCTCATTTGCATAATAGACAATGAACGACCTACATCTTCTTCACTATATTAAGCAATCTAGTACATCACTACGAAGAGATCAAGAAAACCCTCCTCCAGAACTTCTTCCAAGAATACTCAACTGTATCCATCCCTTGATACCATAAATGCGTACTACTTTCTATATAGTTCAAAAATGCTGAAACGCAAACAAATGCTTAGATATCTACTACCAACTCCACCTGCTGAAGTAATTTCCCTCCAATTCTATGTTGAGTGACATCATCCGTAAAACACAACTGCGTACCTGCTAAACTGGACCCATGCGAAATAGGTCTCTCGCCCAATCGAGGATCAGAGGATCTATTTATATCAAAACAGGAAGATCAGAAAACGCGTTGTGAGAGGACGACGCCTTTTGTGCATTATTAGCAACCACAACCACGCTAATTTGTAAGATAAGCCAAAACAGTGTCATTTGAGATGGTAACTAGCAAAGCGCCTGCACAACTGGGATAGGTCAGCTATTTTGAACGTATAGTTGTGGGTGTTCGTGATGGATTACAATGGCATCCAGTTGCCTCAGAATACTGAGTTGCTGATCAGACACTAGAAATGGGAACAACTAGTCGCGATTGACTCGGTGGCCAGTGGTCATCAAGGAGCTTTAGGTTACAGAGTCAGCTAGGTTCAACTCAAAACCTAAAATTAGGTTGAGGCTTCCCCTATGCATACAAAGCGTCAAGTTTGACTCCCATGGAAAAGCATGTCGGCAGATGAATGATGTGGCGATGGGTAGATCCCTAGGCCCGTTTTCGGCAGATGTGTTCATTGATATGATTGAAGAAAAGGGCGATTATTCCATATGATCGGCGAATCCATATGTTGATGGTCTACTGCTAGTGGTAGATTCGGATGGTGACATCGCACGTGAGATAGACACACTAAAAATACGCACCCGAAGTTTACAGTGAATTATGAAATTGAGCAAGACAGGTGTCACCCGGATCTCAGCATACTGATTTCATGGAGGCTAGACAGTTCCATCAGGTCTGTCTAAAGTAAACAAACGTGGACTGGTCAGTAGTAAGAGTTTTCGAATTTCTCCCCTGTTCAACACAAACGTCCTCTTGTCCGGATATTCTTTCATCCGACTCACATGAGCTTCATCGCAGAAACACCATAGAAGCAGAGAGCGAAGCAGAGAGCGGTCAAAACGTTACAATCCAACGTTATCCGTCGCAGTTTATTAAGCGCCTCATAAAAATAACCAACCGAGAATGTGTGTCCAGAGAGTTATAGAAGCCAATCTTCACTGAGTTATCTTTCAAAGGTAACCACACTGTAAACGTCAATGAGTAATGAGTAATTATTTCACTAAAAATAGCGCCTAAATTAGCAGCACTGTGGCTGTCTCCGTTGATGAGACCCATGCGTATGTTCCGATTGAGACACCAACAAGGCGGTAGTGCATGTCCCACTCAGAGACGTAGCGTAGGGGGCGGTTCCTCCTGGAGGATTTGTGACATAGGGCGGCATTTTTAGTTTGGATGATTATCCGATATCAAGTGTAGATTCAACAAAATTATTTCCGTGAGCAAAATGATAAAAACGATGGGTGGTAATCGTACTGACACTGAAGATGAAATTGGTACCGCAAACATTCATAATCGGGCAACAGAACGCGACAGTGATAGCACTGATGCAGCGCGAAATGCCTATAATGTTGATGCAGAAGATGCGCGCCAATGTAAATAGTTAAATATATACCGACTACCTAGCACGTTAACACGCAGATCAAGCTACCTTACCGACAATAAACAGTGAAGTATGGAGTTATATAGGTTAAGAAACAATGCTTTACATGTCCCGTTCGGTGGTTTTGCAGGTACGAAAAAATAAAAAGCAGCAGATTATTTACGTTTGAAAGAGGGAATTAGCGTTTGTCTAGCTGTAGTCCTGCCATCCGTGTGGTCTCACAGCACAAACATGTAACATCAAATAAAGCCAAGGCAGATTTCAGGTGTGGGATGGAGATGCAGTACTAGGTAACAAAGTGTAAGTGAGTGAATCATCTACACCTCTTTTAACTATGGATAGCGATGTCGCAGGAATGACCCATTCTAGAAGAGCATTCCACAGATGACACACGCGGACGGAAAAGAAGTTCCTGCCACAATCCAGGCGGCTGTACTATTCTTCCAGTTTTAGTAAGTGACCTCTCAAGCTGATATTACTGCTGAGTTGCAGTAAAGAGCAGCACATAGGATATAGATCTTGCGGAATTAAGTACACCATTATCAAGTCGCCTCGTAAGCGGCGGTAAAGTCCGCTGAATACCCCCAGTCGTTCCAGCCTATTCACGTATGGAAGATGGTGCATTCCAATAACGTACTTTGATGCTCGAAGTTGGGTCTGCTCCAATGCGCTGAGCCCTCGTTTTGGCCATGGGTGCCAGACTTGAATTGCATATTCGACATGAGGACGAACGTACGCACTAAGCATCTTCCAGAAAATAAAGCGATCTACTTATCCGAACGCTCGTCGTAACAGGCCCACATGTTGGTTACGAGTTTTGGAGGCTTCCGCGGATTGCCTTGGACAACCCATATCATCCTGAACCACTACGCCCAAATCACGCTCGATGGCAGCTCGCTGCACTACATGTGTTCCCAGCCTGTAACAGTAGTTGCACTGGTGTCAGGTGGAGAGCACCTTACATTTACTCAAATTGAATTGCAAGGAATTTTCGATGGACCACTGATGCGTCGTGTCTAGATCACTCTGAAGCAGTGGCTGGTCAGTATAACCCTGAACCCTGCGACAAATCTTGATGTCATGGGCAAACAGCAAGAAGTTAGATATAATCACCTGTATGAGGTCATTGATAAATACCAAAAACAATCGGGACCTAGCACCGGGTGTTGAGGCACACCATATTCAACTTGTATGGGTTAGCGAAAGAGATCCAAACTCTGACAGCCAAGTTTGGAAACATTTACATCACGTACTACATCCACAAACTCAAAACTATCCTTCACACTATGCGCAACAATTAGCTCTCGAATAGGCGTAAGGATCAAAACCAGCCACCGAGCAATGGAGTGATAGGGGGTTTTTCATATCCAAGACAGGAAGAAAGGGGACGTTAGGTTTGTGAGGTTTTGGTAGCCCATATAGCCTTGGAATAACTGTTCCTACCGGCTGAAGTTGTTCATAAGTGGCTTCGTTGATGTAACCATCTTTTCGAAGCCGTTTAAGACAGTTTCAAAATTGAGTTTCAATGTTTTGTTTTGTCTTTCTCACCTATAGCCCTCAGAAACTTGGTTTCATCTGCCAGTATTTTTTTCATTTTGCTCAAGTAGTCCACTTTGCTCGTGATAACAATGCCAGCGCTCTAATCTGGCCGAATGAGTAAGACCTCATTATGAACCAGACGGTTAAGAGCTTCAAGGTGTTCTTGTTTTACCATAATGTTAGCTAGATTACCAAATATATTCAATTTTCTTGCAATGCAGAAGATGGCACTACGTGGTCACCGAGAAGACGTCCAGAATGGCAATGTAGCCAGTAATATTGAGGGAGTTTTTCGGAATTTCCAGTTTGTTGTTCAGATATGACCCAGTGCTTCGTGAATATGTAGTGACCGTTTGGCTGAGAAAGAGCATCAGTACTTCACATTTGTCTCCAGACGTTCAAAATGAAATTGTGATCAATTTGGCAAAGCAGTTGTGAAAATCATCAATCAAGTGAATGAAAGCAAATACTTTTGCATAATTTTTTATTGCACTACCGATGTATCTCAGAAAGATCAGATGATTGAGGAGTTGCGTTGCGTGAAAATAGAGGAATATGAAGTGAGGTTGTGGGGTAATTTCTCTTCTTTATGGAGACCAACAGCAAAAGCGCAGAGGTGACTTCTAGATTGATTTGGACTAAACTGGAGAAAGATGGAATTCAGATTGATGGCTGCCGTAGCAAGGCATTTGTGACTGCAACTGTTATGGCGGGCTACAGATCGGGTGTCCAGAGAACATCTGCGAAATCAACCCAATAGCCACATTAGTGCTATGCACAACTCATTCCCTTAAACCTGGCTTATGTGCATACAGTTACTGCAACGGTTCACTATGTTGCACGTTTTCATACAACGAACCGGTAATTCTTGTTCATTTTCACATCTATATTTGTTGGAACGTTTTGGTTAAAGTCACTGGTCTAACTATCAAGCAGGCTATAGAGACTAGATGTTGTAGTCGAGCAGACGCCGTAAACGTTGTGGAGAAGAAATATTTGAAAATTGTAACTGCTCTGGAACAGTCTGCAGAAGAAGGAAAATGCGATCACAACACTATATACCACTTTACTTCTCACATCGGTACCGTCGTTTCCGTGTATTTCGTCTCTGAGCCTTTGGCGAGCTGTTCTCCCAGAAATAAATGATATACAGAAGCACATACAACGAAAGCGCTGGATCTGTAGCAAAGTTCTGTCAAACTCACA